CCCACCCTTTCAGGTTATATTAACTTCACAAATGCTGTTTATTTGGGAAACCTGACCACATTGTATGTGGCTTTGAGTACTCATGGGTGAGTGGATCCTTGTGTTTGGCCACCACTGAACATTACGAATGACGCGTTAAAAGGTGTCGAGTCCAAAGGAGGACAATAGACCATTGGTTCTGTAGGAGAAAAAAAATACTGTTTAAAGGTTACAGGGATGGAAAGACTAGATTTTTAAAATGAAAGGAGAGGAAAAAACAAACCAATTATGATATGACATTCCTTACAAGATCTTTTAAATTGGTGCAATTTGCATTTATAGGTGGTTTTTATAAACCTCCGTTTTCAAAAATAAGTTTCTTCTTTGTGAATTTTACGTAAAACAAATTCTTTTTGAATGGAATATATCTGTTCCAAATTTCAACATTCCGGTACACATTTTGTGCGAGATATTTAGAAAACAAGTTGTCAAATTTTTTTGGGGATCACCCTGTATCTTAGACTTACAGACTTGAATTCTGAGAAAGTCAGAATTCTCTCTCAAATTTATCTCATTAACCTCGATATATATATATATATATATATATATACATATATAAAATAAAACGAAACTTCGTGTAAACTAGAAGTATTGTCACAAAGTGTTTGCCCAAGTCACTTTCTTCATCTCGACAAAATATGACATAAACTGCACTGTTCATCAACGTTTCCAACCAAAGTGGTTTCCAGCTGATGTCTCAAAATGTGGGAGTTAAAATGCATGAATCAAATCCATTCTTTATATGGAAGCCCCCCCTCCCTACACCCACATTTTTTTCAAGTCATCATCTCAAAACCCTGCAGAAATGATAGGAACAAATTTTAAAGTCTGATGACCTACATGACGAGACTTTCAGCTTATCTCAACCAGATTCATCCATCATTTCATAAGTCTGACTGCAGTCAAACCTGCTCCAACAGTCACCTGTCCATGACAATCACCTGTCCAAATGACCACTTCTCTGCTTGCATTTTCTCTATATTATAATAACACAGTTCAAGATGTCCACCTGTCTATGATAACCAAATTTCTCCTTGACAATGAGTGGTCATATTGGAAAAATTTCAATTGTGTTAGCGAGGTTTCTCTTCAGTTTCTTCTGGTGGTTTTTGTCAATTGACAGAGTGACCTACATCCTACATATTATGACAAGTCTGACAGTAATTGCCTCATGACTCATACTAGGAGGTTCGCTTCTCCAGGCATGGTGATGACATCACATGGAGTCCATCACCTCCGCATGGCACCTGTCACCCCGCCAGATCTTGTAAAACTTTCGTCATCTGAAGGAGACATTTAAAAAAAAGACATAAGTAAACTTTAACATAACAGACATCAGTAAAAAGAAAACGCTTTTTGCTATAAGAAAGACCTCCATAAAAATCATACTTTCAGAAGTGGAACAATCGCATTACTGAACCATTGTTTACCTCAAGCTTGCGCTACAACGGCCACATTTTGTCAGGAGGGTTATCCCACTGTAACTGACGCGACATTTGGACGATACTTTCTTACAAAGATAACACTGTAATTCAATAGATCTATCAAGTAATTTATTTCCTCATGTTTGTATAAATCAGATGAGAACTAACAGGGGAATGCAAAGTAGAAAAGGAAGATTCTCAACTCCAGAGTTAAATCGTGATAAGAAGACAGAGGGGAAACTTACATCTGCTTTGGACCAGTCTTTTGCCGTCTCTCCTTCGTCGTTTTGTGCAGATGGATCTCCTGTGATGGACAGAGGAAGGACACACGTTATATAGTGAATAAAAATTTGCTCGTGTGAATGAAGATATGACACACACATACATACAAACATACAAACACACACTTAGAGCAGATGGGACACACATTACAAAGTAAAGAAAAAATTTGCTCGTACGAATGAAGAAATCACACAAACACACATACAAACACATACACACACACACCCCCCCCTCTCATCACAGATGCATGCACGTAAATCATTTTGAATGAGGTGAACAAATATTTAGTACAATAAATACAATGCGATTAGTAGGTTAAGAAAAATACCTAAATTTTAAAGATATATAGTCATTTACAAAATATTGTACTGGAGATGAAGCTACTAAGTAAGAAATGATTTATTGAGTAAAAATTGTTTTTAAAAAAAAGTTTACTCAGGGGAAGGACATAGGTTAAATTCAAAACTTTTGTACCGAAAGCACACAGTTGAATTCTTCCACCATTAGAGTGTCACTAGAGAGTACTTTACATTTACCTGATTCTATCTGTTGTCCCCAAAAACATGTTAAGACAATGGTAAAGAAGAGGAGTTGAAAACGAAAAGCACGACAACACCCACCAACCACCCATCAGGACCAGAACACAATAATACATGAAACAACAATGACAAAGAAGTAGAAAAAATTTGCAACAACAAGAACAGCAACAACAACAACAACAAAGACAGCAACAACAACAACAACAAGAACAGCAACAACAACAACAACAAGAACAGCAACAACAACAACAACAAAGACAACAACAACAACGACATGACAGGAACAATCTGCATCCTCATCTCTGTGTATTTGTCTAACACATCAGAGTTCCAGACAACAAACAAATGGATGTGGGCGGTTGGCGGGAGCTCTGACGTGGTTTGCTACTTCTTTTCTGTCAAACTTCTATTGTCCTTATCTCTCCTCCTTTTTTTGTGTTTGTAACTCCCTTATCAGACCTCCAAATCTCTGGCACTTATATTTATGGTGCTGCAAATGCCGTAGAACTCTTGCTAAAATAATTTTTTAAAACAATGGATGCCAAATTGCTACCCTAGAATTACAAAGTTCGATCTGCTCAGTACTTACAACCAACAATATGAACAACAGCTTCAATAACAATAATATGAGTAGCAACAACAACAACAACATAACACAAGCAACAAGAAAACAATGAAAATAACAACAACAAGAACAACAACAAAAACAATGTGATCAACAACAACAACCGACAACAATATGAGCATTAACAACAACTGCTACAATAACAAAAATAGCAGCAACACCAACAGCAACAACAACCATGAGAAGCCCACCTCCGGCGTGAATGATCATTCTCATGAGGTTTTGCTTCATGGCCGACTCGGTGCGGAGTTGTGCCACAAAGTGCAGACAGGTCTGTCCCGCTCTGGCGCGGTGGGTCACTAGCCCGCGGGCGTTGGCCGCCCCCACCGCCTTCAGCATCTCCTCCACCAGGTGCACGTCGCGGGTCTTGATGGCAAACATAAGGGGCGTCATACCCTGCAGGTTGTCCTGTACGGGAGGAACACATTTTTAAACCTATTTTTTAAAACACATTTTTTAAACATATTTTTTTAACACATGTGTCAAGACGTGGTGGAATCAGGCACTCATCAATTTTGGGGGCGTGAGGAGTTCACAAATCACGTCAGCTAAAATTTGGCCAAAAATGACCCCTCCCTCCCCCCTTGTCATCTTCTGTCATCTTTCCCAGGACCCCCCACGCCCTCCCCCCTAGTTAACATCAACCAAAATGTACACGTACATTTAGATATGACCTGTACAAAATGAATGTTATATTTACACCTTTGATCTTTATTTTAAATTTTAAAAATAAAAACTATTTGTTTATTAAAGAATACAACAAAGAAATACCTGAACTGTCAAGTTATTTATTAACAACTTTAACCAATCAAAATAATCAATAGCGTTAATTTTAGGCCAAGAAAATGTAGCCAATAATATTTTTTCTTCCTTTATTTTCTTTTTTCCCCCCAACCTTTTAGATCAACATGGATGACGTCAACTTTGTAAGGACACTCCCCTTCCCCCCCATGTCAACTTTTCACAGAACACCCCCGCCCCCCCCCCCTTTCGCTTTTCCCTATCATTATTACTATTATGACTATTACCATTACTATCATGACTATTATCTTATTATTATTATTAATATTATCATTATTATTATTTATTCTTTTAAAGTTATTATTATTATGACTATTACCTTATTATTATTATTGTTATTGGCTAATGATGACAATTACCGCATTAAATAATAATAATTATTATTAATATTAATATTATTATTATCATTATTATTAATATCATGACTATTACCTTAGCAGTGAGAGAGCATCTGTTATGAATCAACATCCAGATGATCTTGTCCCGGTTCTGCTGTGCGTGAACGTGGAGAGCTGTCATCAAGGGAGTGAAGCCTAAGGAGAAGGAGGAGAAGAGAGATTTGTGAGGGAGTTGAAGGACACACATGGCCCGGATCCTGGTCACGGGACGCTACTGGGTGTTTGTAAACGTAACTGAAAACTTACAAGGTCGCATTGGCAAACAAAAAAACCACACAACTACAATGGGGTTCAACAGAAAACAAATGCTGAGAACAAAAACTGCCCTTCTTAAATTTAAATATTTCTTTTTGCTTAAAGAAAATGACTTGACTCTTTTCCTACCAGGCCAAAATCCCCCACTGGCCCAGGGCTTTCCCCTGACCTATTTTTATGCCCTTACCCCACCACAGGAAAATGTCAAAACATCCACAACTAAACACACACAAACCATATCATATGGCCCATCAAACTGAACGTTAAAAAATAATCTATTAGATGGCGATACAATATTGAAGATTTATTCCAATTATATTAGTTTGGGGTTTCTAAAAGTGATTATGCAATATCGAAGGTGTCATATGAAATCAACAATTTTCCAGCTTTGAAAGGTCATAACTAACAAAGTGCAACAGCATCATTTTAACTTCCCAGGTAGGTTGCCTCAAGTAATGCGAAGAAATGCTGAAAGTTATGTAAGTGTACCTAATATAGAAGTGAAAGTATGAGACATATACTGAAGTCAGGGGAGCGCTTTTATTCTCATATTTATGTTTCGAAGGGGACATAAAAAGCGCTGAAAGGACGAAAAATCGTCAGTCAGTGCAATATTTTCTTTTGTGTCTGGTAACAGGAAGTTTATTCTATTATTTTGAAAACGTGGATCGGCCGAGAAATTTGTATCTTTTCATTTCTGGATTGGAATTGATAGCGAGCCACTCGAGCCGTATTTTGCGGCTCTCGGTACATCGAGGCCAAGTCCGCGAGCCGCAAAATGTGGCTCGTGGTAGGGAAAGTGTTAAAAGTCTAGATTTTGTCGATATTCTATTTCCTGACAAAGATTCTGATGTCCTTTGCCTTAGCTTTCAGAGAAAATAACAGAGCCCCCCCCCCCTGAAAAAAACAACAAACACAACCCCCCCCCCCACAAAACAAAGCAAAAAAACAGTATCCCTGCCTGGTTCTCAGTTTGAGAGATACAACAGTCATTAGTGTCAACTCCCATAAAAATTCCTTTGTTGAGAAATAAATCCTTTAAGAAAAGTCCTTTGGGAAAAAATAGTCAGTGTGTTTATTAGCATTTATTATTAAATCAAGCCTGACAATAAGACAGACAATCCTGGTTCAAAACCCTCAGTGTCCATCTGGAATGCCCAGAATATGAAAATTCAAATATAAAAATCTTTACCTGAGGATCTCTGACTCTATCTGACAGTAGATATAATTCCAGAATTTAATCATCATCAAGTGAGCTAGAAAACTAATTTAGCTTGCAAATTTTGAAAACCTTACAGTAAGTCCAAATGACACTGGATCGATAACAACAACAAGTCCAAACGACAGAAACTGAACTAACGATTATGTACATAACAATATGATTTTGCATTCTGAAATGGGCTTTTGGCTTTAAGTTCTTTCAAAGAAAAAAACCAACTCCATATAAAACAAACAAAAAAATCCCACTTAAAACCAAACCAAGAACCAGAGAAAAACCCTACATAGATACAAAGGGACAACAGCCCCCCCCCCCCCCCCCCCCTAAAAAAAAAAAGCCCCAATGAGAACTGGTGGAAAATCACCCAAGCTGAGATCATATCTCCACAAAATTGCGCCAGCGGACAACTCGGATCCGTCCTGTCGAGCCTGCAAGGAGGAGGACAGAACTATGAACCATGTGTTCCTGAGATGTCCCGCCAGCTATCGTGCTAGAACCCGTCTGCTGGGACATTTCAGTAAACCACTTTCAGCACTTTTTAAGGACCCCCGGGCGAGTGTTGAGTTGCTGTGTGCTGTCGGCATCGCTGACCGTTTATGAAGCCACAGCGCCAGAAGAGAGAGAGAGAGAGAGAGAAAAAAAGCCCCAACCCAACAGCAACCAAATAAACAAATAAACAAACAAAACAACAATCCCCCCAAAAAATCCACATAAAAACAAACCAACAACAAACAAAAAAATAAACCCATATTTAAAAAATCAACAACAAACAAACAAACTTCCCCCCACCCCCATAAAAACAAACCAACAGCAAACTAAAAAAATCCCCAAACTAATCTAACCACAAACATGCAATAAAAAAACCCCACCCAAAAAAAACTACAAATACAAACAAGCAAAAATTTCCCAATGAGTCCTTACCAGATCCGGGCCGCGGGGCGTCGAGGTACACTCCATCCTTGAGCAACAACTCCTTCAGGATGTCCGCGTGGCCCGTCTCTGCTGCCTCGTGGAGAACCGTCTGCCTGACCGTCTCGCTGCGCAGGTTCTGGGGAGTGAGCGCACACAGCCACATATCAGTCTTTTTAGTTTTAGTAAGGTTTTACTGCGCTCGCGACAGTATAAGGCCGTCTGAGCGCAAAGGAGTGGATGTCAACAGAGAAGTCCAAATGGGGAATCAGGTTTACTCTGCTCACCTCTCTAGCCTCAACAGCACAAAGTCTGCTGCGACTATCAAGGCACCCCGGAAATAGCAGTTCACCACAAGAAAGTGACACAACAAACATAAAATTATAAAAAAGAAGTAGAGGAAAATGACGATAGTAAGGATGAGAAAAGAAAAAGCAGGAGTTCCCCCTATGTTGTTCAGGCACAGTATGAGCATGACATTGATAAATCAGCCCATTTACAATTCTACAGAGCATAAGAACATTTTAATATCCCCCCTTTTGGAAATGGCCTAAAGACAACTTCAGTCAGTAGCACTGCCCTGGGGGGGGGGGGGGGGGGGGGGGGGGCACATGGGCACATCAATCTGAGTAAAGATTTCTTTGGTAAGTATTTTGCGGCACTGGCAACTGCCGGACTGTCTCACTGCGCAGGCTCTGGGGAGTGAGTTCACACAACCACAGACTAGTCAGAGTAAAGATCGTTTTGTTTTGGCTCCTCCGATACACCCCAACCTCCTTTTCTTTTCCACCTCCACTGCCCCTATCACACAAATATATGCGTAAGTGGTGCATTTCTCGACACACATACCTGTAATATTCATGCATGGTGATTTTTCTATTATTTCATCACTGTTATGCCTTTCTGTAAAATATATGATCATTGCTAATATCGATGCATTCCGTTTTCTGCTCCACAGAGCATACTTGTAATTTTGCCAAGAAAGTTCCACAAAATAAAATTTTACTGAACTTCTGGAAGAAATAACTATGTTCTTTCTCCTTAGTTGTACGTGTGAGTGCACATGAGCTTTGTAACACCTCTGTCATTGTAAATGACCAGGAAACATTTCTCTCTGTGAGATGAATTAGATTGTCATTGTCCTGCTTTCATCAATCTCCTTAGACAGAAACAAGATTGTCATTGTCAAAGAGTCCAGTTCTCCTAGCGAGAAACAAGATTCGTCAATGTCTTAATCATGCTCCTCCTTGAAAAAAACATGATTGTCATGTCATATCTAAAAAAAACAAAACAAGCACGGCACAGTCGTGACACAAGCAATGGCAATGGCATGTTTGTGAAATGTTCCGTATTGCTGTAATATTTGTATTTAATTTATATGTGTATAATCAAGAATGTACAGGGTGTCTAAAAAGGCACTAAAAGGGCAATAATTGGGTATCTCTGCACCAGTTTCAATAAAACTTCCAACAAACAAAATTCAACCATGAGGACATCGAGTTTGAAAAGATTTTTAGGGATATCAAGTTAAAAAAATTTAAACCAAAATTGGGTAAAACGCAAAATTTTACTTCCTTAAAGCGTTCAGCTACAGAGACGCGAGCGATCAGCGCGTTCTGGTTTCAGAACAGTGACGGTAAAACCATGACAGTCACATCAGATGGACATCTTACTGTGCTGAGAAAGTTTTGTGGAATCTTGGGGAGGTGGTATATTGCAGTAGAGGCCTGGTTCAAATAAGATGGGTCCACATCTCACACATCAAGAGTGGCCCTCATGTAGTTGTAAGAAAGGTTTAGGGAACGCCTTTTAAACTGAAAGTTTACAAATGAATGGTTACCATATTCTCCATAACTTGAGCCCTTTCAATTATTACCTTTGGGTTTTTTTAATTGTCAGAGTCTAAGGAAACAACCAACAAACAATCGATGAACATGAAATCCAAAAAATCAACCCAGAAACACACCACAGGGCCATTCAAAATTCGCAGTGGAATACTGAAGCTTTTAGTGGGAGATATGGCCAATACCCTGAGATTGAAAGAGCCATCACCTCCATGGGATTGTCTTGTAACATTAATTATGTATAAATTTGTTCGTTTATATGTTTTAGTAGAAGTTTTACGGTGCTCGCACCTGCATAAGGTCATATGAGCGCCATAAATTTGTTTGTCACTGCACAAATAGTGATCATTTGAAATAGAACAATATGGTTGATTTTTATGAAGTTGCACAGTTTTGTGTTTCACTCAATGTTGGTTGAAACAGTAAAAACTTCATATTTTGTTAATACTCAGATTGATTTTCTTCATATTTACAGATTTCATGTCCTTGTGGTTGAATTCCGTTTGTTCAAAGTTTAGTTGAAATTGGTCCAAAGATGACCCAGTTATTGCCCTTTAAAGGGGTGCTTTTTTTTTAGACACCCGGTATTTAAGTATTTATTTATATATGTATTTATGTTTGTATTTATAATAATTTATTAATGTAATGTATGTTTGCCATTCTGACCCAAATTTCCCCTTGGGGATCAATAAAATGTACTTTATTATTATTATTATTATTATTACTACTAATTCCCTTGAGAAAAACATGATTTTCATAGTCATAGTCAAGTTCCCTTGAGAAAAACATGATTGTTATAGTCAAATCCCCCTTGCCAACTCACAGCATTTGAGCCTGGACTGGAACACAAAATGTTTGGGTCAGCACCGTGGGACAACAGCAATTTGACCACCTCCAGATTTCCTCTCCTCACCGCCACAAATAACGCCGTCTGCCAAAACAGGATTGTACGTGAGACAACCGACATCATGTCCCCTTCAACATATTGGTAATTCACATAACTGCATGCAGCTTTCACTAACTGAAATATAAGATATCATAATAATTTCTTGATCCTTTAACGTAATTTATATAACTGCAGCTTTCACTAACTGAAAAAGTAGTTTCTTGATCCTATAATGTAATTCATATAATTGCAGCTTTTACTCACTGATATTTCTCAAATACCGGTACTTTATACTTTACTGATCTTTTTATGTAATTCGTATAACTAAAACTTTCATCAATAGAAGACAACATTAGAAATCATAATATATTTGTAAAAGACGTTTTCATGTGATTCAAATTTATTGAAACATTTATCATTGTAAGGTAACATTAGCTATCATATACATAACATTAGCTATCGTATACTTATTGGGGCCGTTTATGTAATTCTAATTTATTGAAACTTTCATCATTGTTAGATAAAAGTTGATATCAAATGTGTCATAACTTCATGGAATCAGGCTCTCATCAATTTTTGGGCAATTGGTGTTATTGGTATAATTTAAAAGCTTGCTCATTTTTCTTGCTTTTGAGGATGAAAAAAATACCTATCTATTCTCAATGGAAGTCAAGATATTTGCAATTGAAGAAGGTGGGGGTTGCTGGGTGTCAGAGGTAAAATTAGCAAGAAAGTGACAGCCAAAGTTTTGATGACATCTAAAGCTTGAGTGTCCTTGGAAACTGTCAATTTACATTTTTTGGGCCTTTGACCAACGTTTGTCAGTAAAATCCACACAGAAATATGTATTATTTTTAAATGGACATAAAAGGCGTTGAGCCAAAAAACCCCCCAAAAAACGTAATGAAAATTGTCCAACTGTAGGAAACATATTGGTTCTTTCGATTCCATTATTTTGACAAGTGCCTGATTTTACCACAATGACACACACACACTTTAAAAAACTACATAATATGTGAGGCAGTGTGGTGAAATCAGGCGCTCGTCAAAATAATGAAATTGAAGAAATAGGCATTTTTCTGCATGTTTGGCAAGTTTTATCTAATTTTTTTGGGGGGCTCAACATCTTTTATGTCTATTCAAGAACACCTTTCTGTGTGAATTTTACTGAAAAACGTTGATTAAAAGCACAAAAAATGTAAGTTTTCAGTTACCACAGGCTCTCAAGCAAAGGAAAGAACCAAGCTTTGGCGGCCATTTTCTCACTAATTAAACCCCTGAAACGAGACAACAGTCACCTCGGTCAAATACGGATATCTCGACTTCTATTCAAGATAAATGGGTATTTTTTCCCTAGAAGGCAAGACAAATGAGCATGGTTAAAGATGATACCAATAATTCCACATGCCCAAAAATTAACGAGCACCTGATTCCACCGCGTCATGCCACATATTATCCTCAGCAAGCTGTTCACTAAACTCAGAAAACAAAATTCATCAGGGAAGAGAAAAAAACCTGTTTCAGTTCTTTTGGATATTGTTACTATGTAATCTATCTTTTCTGGCTTTTATTAACATTTAGAATTTGAATTTCAACAAAATATTTCATAAGTAGGGCCTATATAATATTAATAAATAGCATTTGAATAGCCCAAATCCCCACTCAACTGCAAGCTCTATGCGCTTCACAATCTATACTATTGCCCCAGCAGACCGGAGAGCATTCTAAAACAACCTTAACTAACTGGGAAGCACACAGTGTAAGCGACTATTTATAGGTGCTAAATCACTAACATACTGATAACATCTTTTGCTGTCTATGACCGGGTACCCATTCCACCAGGGTTAAGTGAGGAAAATTCGAGTAAAGAGCCTTTCCCTGTGGCATAACGTTGGGCTCACGGATCAAACCCCCGAACCTGCAACCTCACGATTACAAGTCTGGCAGCCTAACCACTAGGCCACCAACGCCACTACATAAGCAACTGATACCAGAGATTATAAGAAACTGCAATAAAATTATTTTTTAAAAATTTTGGTCTAGTACACCTGAACAGCTGGCTGGCGCTTTTTATTTGGTAAGAAATCCTAGTTGGTGTTGAGAAGGGGGGGGGGGGGGGGGTGTCCAACTTCTTAATTGTTTCAAATGTTATTTGCAAGTATGTATATAAAAAGTGAGATGTGTTGACAAAATGAGGGATTTCTCGCAAAACAAGAATGGAGATATCGACACTGGGACCCGCTTTAGAGATTTTCAGTTGAAGCCATTTTCTTTTTGTTTTAGTTTGAGTTTTACGGCACTTGCAACACAATGAGGTCATATAAGTGCCAACGATTAGAGGAGTTACAAGAGAGTAACAAATACAAAAATAGAAGGAGGTGAGAAAAGGACGATAAATGTTTGATAGGAAAGAAGGAGCAAACCACACTAGAGCACCCGCCAACCACCCATAGCCATTTTCTTCAAGTCTATCTTGTCTTTTATTATTTCATACTTGCAAATTGTACAAACTCCACCTATAAAGTTGATATATCAATTTCCATAAGGCTAAAAGGCGAGAAATAACTCATTTTGTCTGCACAGCTCACAAATGTATGTTTGCTTTGGTATCCCAAATTTCCCTGTGGGGACCAACAAAGAGTAATTTATCATTGCTGTACGGAAGAGAAAGAACGGACCTCCTGGTTGTTGCTTAGGGTGTCGAGGGCGTCGTGGAAGCCAGGCAGGGAGGCGACCTTGACCCTTTGTAGCTGCGGCATGTCACACAGCCAGTGCACGTACCTGGGGACACACACAGGACACAGCTTATTTGTTTGCTCATGGAAAGAGAAGCTTGCCGACACAATAGTGCCCATTTAGAGAAAAGAAAAAGCAAGACAGGACAGAAACAAAACAGGGAAAGAAACTTTAGTTTTAGGAAGGTTTTACGGCGCTCGGAACTGTATCAGGTCATATGAGCGCCAAGGGGAGGATGTCAACAGAAAAGTCCAAACGCGGAATCAAACTTACTCTGCTCACCTCTCCAGCCTCAACAGCACAAAGTCGGATTCGACTATAAAGGCACCCCGGAAAAATAGCAGTTCACAAGAGAGTGACAAACATACAAAAGAAGTAGAGGGAAAATGACGGTAGTAAGGATGAGGAAAGAAAAAGCAGCAGTTCCCCCTATGCTGTTCCGGCACAGTATGAGCAGGACATTGATAAATCAGCCCATTTACAATTCTATTGTGCATGAGAACATGTTAATATCCCCCCTTTGGGAATGGTCTAAAGACACTTCAGTCAGTATTGGGGGGGGGGGGGGGGGTCATGGAAAGAGAAGCACGTTGACACAATAATGGCAATTTAGCGAAAAGAAAAAGCAAGGCAAGACAGACAGAAACAAAAAAGGGAAAGAACAAAAGCAGGGTCTACCAGAGGTGCATTCCAACTGCACACATAGCACACTAGCACATAGTAAAAGCAAGAAAAAACAGATAGAAACAAAACAGAGAAAGAAAAGAAGTAGGATCTACCAGTGGTGCCCTACAACCACCCATACACACACAGCCCCAGCATCAAGGTTAGTTTAGTTTTCATAAGAGCTTTTCGGCACTTGCTGCACAATCAGGTCATATAGGTGCCGAAGAATAGCCTTGTTACTGGAGAGTAACATACAAAGAATAGAAGGAGGAGAGATAAGGAAAGAAGGAGCCAACGACATCAGAACACCCGCCGACCTACCACGTACATTTATAAAATTTTAACGTAGTAACTGGAGACAACTTGAGAAGCCGTAGGCAAAAATTAGCAAGGTCAAGAAGAAGCAGTAGAAAGAAAGGCTGCAGAAAGAGTCAGGAGACAGAGGAGGGGGTAAAGGAGGAGAGGTGAGGGGGGGCAGAAAGTGGAGATGAAAGCAGGCGACAGAATATTGCTAGAGAGCAGGAAAGGACGTGAAAGGAGAAAATTATATCCGAATTCGAACACGCTACCTATTGAATGAGAGGCGAACACCTTAACATCTAGACCACAAGAGCCCCCCTCCCCCCAATCAGTACAATCTACAATATTCAGAAGGTGGACAGTGTCAGACACATCCAAGTTGAAAGGTAGAGATGTGTGAGGCATTATTTTCCTCATATGAGAATGGAACTTGCGTCCTTTGTGCTCCAGCCTAACCACTACATGACAGACGCTGTATGGCTCGTTCACTTTTGTCCGTCCACGTTTAAAAATGTCTAGCTCATTTATCTATTTATTTAGGCTCACGAAACTTTGAATGGAACTTCTGAAGGCCAGCGACCAAGCAGAAATATTTTGTTTTAAAATCTGGATCCACCAACAAAAAAGTTTTTCTCTTCGGGCCTTACTTATATTAAAAACCGCTGTTTGGACGCATACACAGGATCACTAAAATAAATGACTTACGGTGACCTTGCCTACAAATTATTCATTTTGAGACAGGGACACCACCTTGCTCCCATATTTCAGTGTAAGCTTGTAGATTTCATCCCCCAGCTGTCTGGACGTCTCTACATGCTTCGCTTAAGTCTAGAAAATTACTCACCCGTCTCTTGAATCGTGTTTCTTAGGCGTACTTTCGAGTGTGGTGTTAAGGAAAATATGTCAACTTTTAAATGTTGTAGGTGTAAGCTGTAAATCCTCTCCATTTTTTTTTTTTGGACCCCCTACTGTAGGCTTACATAAAAAAAAATATGTCGGAACCTTACTTTAAACAGAGAGATTATATTTTATCTTGTTTTAACTGCAGTCAGACGAAAGTGAACAAGCTATAGATGTTCTTCGAAAGGGAATTAAACCCTTACAAAAATCATCCCTCCTGCCTCTCCAAAATAAATAAAAAAATAAAAAAATAAAAAACAAACAAAAAGCACCCCAAAACCCGACAAAACCCAGCCTGGTTTTCAACTCACGTCTCTCCATCGTCGTCCTTCTCAAAACTGGGGATCTCAACACTGCTGCTCTCCAGGGAGATCTTCTCAACACTCAGGTCCCCCGCGCCTCTGGAGTGACCTTTCTCTGAACCGGAGCCTAGCGACATGTCTCTTTCCTCGCAACTACTCTTTGCACCAACAGCTTTTCGCACTTCAGACGATGTGGAGTTTGAGGCGATGCCATTCTTTGAATCTTTGGGCGGGGAGGGATTTTTCCCTTTTGATTTCTGGTTAGAAATACTGGGAGTACTTGAGCTGCCCCTCTCTTGGAGAAACAGGCTCTGTGGATCGTCCTTCAAGTCCAAGGGTGGGAAAGAATCAGCCAGCATGAACTGCTCCAGTTCGAGGTCAGATGGCGAAGAGGCGCGATTCTGATCTGGGAGAAAATCTGGCAATGTGGACGACCCTTGGTCATTAGGCCAAACGGGCGCTTCGAGCCTCAGTAGTTCCACAGGTGCAAGGCTCTGTGTGGCAGGACAGGGCAAAGATGGCTGGTTGCTATGGTTACCAGGGTGTTGCTGATGTAGGGTAAGTGCTCTCGAAGGATGTTGACCTGGCGAGGACAGACCTAGATATGGAGGATTTCCACTCTGCACCCTTTGAGCGGATTTTGTGGGTGGTAGAAATGTGGGAACGGCATTCACTTGAGAGGGGAGCTCTCTGGCCATGTGGTACCCTTGGGCTGTTTGAGGGACAGTAGACACGCCACTGGGTGAGGCATGGCAGAAGACAAGATTTGAACCACGGTTGTGTGCAGCTGCACTGACATTGGAGGGTGAGTGTTGAGAGGCAGCGGCGTAGTTCATCATTATGTTCGGGGTGTCCGCTCCACCAGCGGCCATGTGGCTGTCATGAGGAAAAGCTTGAGATGAGAACTGTGCTCCCTGCGGCACTGGATCCTGTTGTAATAACCACCTCTCTACCTCCAACCGCTTTTGCACTTGCGATTTAGACAATTGTGAACGCTGTTGAGACCTGGGTAAAGGTGATTGTTGTCGAGACCGCCTCTGTGAAGGTACTGGTACCTGCGTTTGTGAAGGTAACTGAGTTCGCAGCTCTGTTTGTACAGGGAACTGCGGGTATGACTGCTCTGAGGATGGTAACTGTACTTGTGACCCTGTCTGGTCCTGCATTTGTTGCGATATGTGTGTTTGATACTGCACCTGCTGTGGGTGCAGACGGTGGATGAGATCGCTGGGAGAATCCTGTGTCTCTAGGGGAACATACTTCATGTTGTTGCCTGCAGTCTGATAGTGACTTTGCCCCACAAATAGCATCCCATCGGCAGAACAAACCACATAATTCACGTTACCAGGCTGTTGTGTGTAGCTGTCTGGTGGGGGGTTGGCGGTCTCCTCCACAGATATGGACATGTCTGATGTGGTCAGGGAGGGCTCCTGGCCCATGCTGTGGTGTCTGCTGCTCTGTGGTGCTGGCTCCAAGTGGGGGAGACTGTCGCCGGAGCGCATGGACACATCGCTGGTCCCCCCTATGCTCATGTGACTTTGAGTAGATGGGAACCTGTCTCCCATGAACTTCCCACTCTGAGCGCCTGAAGAGGTAGTCGGGTAAGGTCGTGGTTTGACGGAGGGAACTTTAAAGTTATTGTCGTCTGATGCCGTTGCTGTGGATGTGTTTGTGGTACTGCTAGAGCTCTGGCGATGTGGCCTCCAGCCACCAGCGGGGTGTGTGGACTGGACCACAGCCACTGTTGGGCCAGTTTGGGAGTAGTGGTCAAGGGCTGGAGCCAAATCTAGCTGCTGTGTGCCAGGATAGATGTGTTGCCATTGACAGGACTGCAGTTGGGGTTGGGTGAACTGTGACTGGGAGGTGAACTGTGGGTGGGTGGGTTCTGACTGGGCATGTTGTGGCTGGGTGTGCTGTATTTGGGTGGGTCTTGGCTGCGCTTGTTGGGAGAATTTTGGCTGGGTGTATTGAGATAGCAAATAGTCCGGCTGGGACTGGTGTGGCCGGCTGTGTTGTGGTAGGAAGTACTGGAACTGAGACGGTGGAAGACTGGCTCGCGGAGCCTGCACTATGAAACGTCCCTTGGCATCCTGCCCCAGCACAGTTGCTTCAGAGAACTGCGGTGATGCCTCCGGCCCATCTCCCATCCTATAATGGCAAAAGGGCGCCGCGACAGAGCTCCCAGCCACTTCCTCATTCTTAGGATTCTTTGCTTTCTCCACCAGGCTTTGGCTGGTCACGGGGTAACCAGACGAGGTAGAAGCTTTGTGTGTCACATGGTGGTCAGGAGATGCCACCAACTGACTCTGCGGGAGCAAACCTGTACCCTGAACTTGCAGCGGACCAGATGGTGCTGCTTCAGGCGGGGTCACTTCCTCTCTCCCGGACGGCTGGGTAGACAAGGAGTTCAATGCTAAGTGATAGCGTAGTTGTCTCTGGACCTGTGAGTTCAGTGTCGGCCCCGAAGTTCTGAACCCAGTCGCATTAGGAGTTTGTGCAGAAGAGGACAGAGGGACAGTTTTACTCTGCCTGTCTGAACTAGAAGTCATCATTTCTGATGATTGTGCTTGCTTCCTTTTCACGGCTTTCTGCCTGTCTTCCTCTTGACTTGAAGAATTTGAGGCTGTGCTAATCTTTCTCTCTGCTAGGGTGTGGGCTCCTAGTGGTTCAAGACACTTATTAGCAGGAGCAAGGTGAGGCCTTAAATATTTCTCGAGACTCGTCTCCTGTTTCATTTGCTGCTTTCCCTCCAAACTGGCTTTCATGGAAGGTGTGATGTAGATATCAAAAGGGAAACTGTCCCTGTTGACCTGGACGACCCCACTAGCGCTCTCCTCAATTGTTCCTGCTCCAGGGATTGAGGGAAAGGCCAAAAGATTGACAAGCTCCTCCGAATTGATTGAGAAGAACTCTGTTTCCTCAGGCTTGATGGACAACATTTGGTGTTCACTGCTGTTAGCAGACAGCGGCTGTTCAAGGGCACGTTTGATGTCAGCAATGCGTTGTTCTTCAGTGAGAGAAGCAGACGCAGATGTTTGCTGCAGGACAGGAAACATATTTGTTTTTATTTTGTCCTCCGGACAGACATTTCTCCGCACTTGGTCTACTTGAGAGGAGTAGCTGGAGGAAGCCCCGCCACTACAAAAAGGAAGAGCTGCCGAGGGGCCGACAGCAGAACCAGCATCCACTCCGTGCACGCTTTGAGAAGATTTAAGATTTGCTTGAGGCAATTTAACATTCGCATTAGAAGATTTCTTATAAGCCTGTGAAGAATTTGTAGTTGCTGGGCTGTTTTTCTTGGAAGAAGAGGTGGTGGATGAGGTAGTTGCAGCTTTTCTACTTTCTCCTTCCGCATTTCTCCTGCTGGAAGAGTTGGCCGCAACTCTGGGAGGTCTTTGCTTGCTTGTTGTTGAAGGCTTGGGGTCAGACCGATCCTGTATGACCAGTAACTTTTGACCAAAAATCCCAGTCATTTCAAGGGGTGAGTCCAACAGGCTGTGATCAGACGGGTCAGAGATCCCTTCATCCAGATCCGGCTGGTGATAGAGATTACTATCAACCCATCTGGCAGTACGGTCTTGCTTCGGCTGGACGGGAACGTTGATGGGTGCCACTCTGCCGGCAGGCTTCACAGTCGATGACCTGCTGGAACCTGGTGCAGGAAGCATGTCCGATGGACACGGAAAAGGGACGCGGTACATCTGTTCCATGGACAAATCAGCCCCAGATCGTACTTTGGAGGCAGATGATGGAATGCTGTCGTACATTTGTTGAAGCAAGTCGCGGGAGTCGCGGCTGGAGGAGCCCGCGCCCTGGGCACCATGCTGCCAGGCACTCCCCGTGGCTGGGCGCTGGTGAATCACCACGTTCTGGCCAGATCTGACAGCATACAAGCCACGTGAGTCTCCAGATTCTTCAGTGGGCGGCCTTTGCTGCAACACCAGCTGTGGGTGCCTTGACCCTGGCTGTGCACTGTGACTTTCACCTTGATTCCAGACATGTCCATGGACAGGGCCCGACGTGCTGTGACCACAAGCAGCAGCAGCAGCAGTAGTCGTAGTACTGGTAGTGCTAAGGTGAAACCGTGAGTCGGGCAAGTACACATATTGTGAAACAGCGACTGGGGCAGTTGTAAGCCGGGGCGCAGCCTGTGAGGTCAGATACATCCCTGGAGTAGACACCGTCTGTGGAAACACACCCTGGCTCACCTCGACTCTACCTTGTCTGTCAACGTACCTGCCACGCTGAGTCTCAACTACGACGGGGTCAGAGTGTATCCCCATGGAACCAGAAACTTGCCTCACATTGGACATTGGAGACATCAGCTCAGGCGGGGACCCCACCAGCCTGCCCAGATTGGCAAGATCGTCTGGTAACAGCTGGGAATGCTCGGAGCTGACACTGTCATTGACAAAACCAGTTTGAGACGACTGACCTCCGTGATGTTGCAGAATCTCCAAATTTTGTTGCCCGTCGTACAGAAGGAAATCATTCTGTCTCAAATTCTGAGTGGGGTCAGCCTGATGAACAGTCAACGGGACTGTCTGCTGAAACTGACCCTGAGCGGGGTGTAAATGTGCAAAGGAGGTGTTTGAAGATGTCGTCACGGCGATGGAGAGAACATCCTCCGACACACTACTGGGGGCGTCTCTGCGGCCAGGGGGCCAGCATGGGTGCCCTTCCACGTGAAGGAGGAACTGGGACGGAGTGCTGGGCAAGGACGGGCCGTCTATCTGGATGGAGCAGGGGCTAGCGGCAGAGATGGACATGTTGTGGGCGCTGGATGGGACAGGGGAGGGAATTTGCTCTGTCTCTTTTGGGCTGGCAACTACTCGATCTTTTTCTACTTCTGCAGACAATAAAAATAATAATAATAATAATAATAATAATAATAATAATAATAATAATAATAATAACAATAATAATAATGATAATAATACTGGATAGCATTTGTATAGCACAAATTTCCCCTTGACAGCAATCTCTATGCGCTTAACCCATGGTGGGTCTATTCCCGTGTATTTATGGGACGCTCCGCTGGCCCGGTGGCCTAACCCCGTGTATTTACAGGAATCTCTTTAGTGATCGATATCTCCTGTGTTCTTCGGTTACTAGCTATTGGAAGCATTGAACCCACAGCTGAAACACTTGTTTCGTTTCTTTAAAAAATTTGGTGAATTGATGTGCGATACTTTTTTGAGATGTAGTGGACTAAGTCAATCCCCCCTGCATTGTGATAGATGATTTTATTAAAAACAGGGCACAAAAAAAAATTACTTAACACCCAGACCCGGCTATTTCAAAATATTGATAAATAAAAACTATTCGGATAAATTAGATGCAGTATTCTTTTTTTAAGTGAGAACATTCTTTCTTACTCTTGCTGCATTTTAAAAATTATGATAGCATTCAGAGTCTTTTTGTGATTAACATTTCAATATACCCCAAAAAAGTCAGGCTGCAATGGTAGTTGGGTGAAAAATAGCTCAACCCAGACCCATCCTGTTAAGCCTGAAGGAAGGAAGATGAGACTATGGACTACGTATTCCTGAAATGTCTTGCAGACTATCGTGCCAAAACACATCTGCTGGGACATTTCAGAGACCCATGTTCAGCACCTTTTAAGGACCCCCCAGGGAGTACCGAGTTTTCACGTGCAGTCGGCATGGCTGACCACTTATGATGTCACAGTGCCAGAAGGGAGGGAGAGAGAGAGAGAGATGTGGGAAATAAGAACCGTCTCCACTAAGAAACTGAATTCAAGTCTTCTGCCTGCACTGTGAAGAGTCTGACCCTTTCATCAAAGACACAGGTCAAATCAATGTAAATAATAAAGAGTACACAAATTAATTCAGAGCAGTGTCAGTGCGCAACCGGCAACCAAACAGGGAACCATCTACCGCAAGCCTGCCCAATGCGCGAGGCCCTTAGAAAGAAATACTGGCAGCAGCCTTCGCACTTGAGACTGGGATATCCATTTAAAGATAAATAAAGAAAAGAAGTAGAAGTACTGATTAATACAGACCCTGCCAACAAAACATTTTAAGGGGGGCTCTCGTGATCTAGATGTTAAGGTGTTCCCCTTTCATTCAATAGATCCCGGGTTCCAATCCGGATAGTGACGGAAAATTTTCTTCAATAAAACTTTTAACTTTAACATCCTTTCCTGCTCTCTAACAATGTTCTGCCGCCTGCTTTTGCCCCCACCCCTTCACCTCCTTTGCCCCCTCCTCTTGACTCTTTCTGCAGCCTTTCTACTGCTTCTCCTTGGCTCCTTTCAGCCACACCCCTGATCTTATGGTAGGAAAGATCTACACCTTGCCTTCTCGGACAAGGGTGAAAAATCTTGGAGGTCCAGTGTGCAAGTTGCGGATGTTAAAGATCCCTTGGGGGTCCAAAATCAATAAGAGTAGGATTCGGCTGCCACCCGGGCAAAATTCAAAATTTCCTAGTGATTGAAAATATCTAATTTGTCCCATTCGTGAGCGGTTGCGAGTGCCGCAAATCATGTATCAACTTTTTAAAAAAGCATTTTAAGTGCAATAAACATAACAATCACAGTAACAATCTTCAAGCACATCTGAGTCACTTTAAAATATCTCAGACCATTGTAAATGTACACAATTTGTGTTACTTAGTAACGTATAATAAACATACAAGTTAATGCTATTTCCTACTGTCTTAAACCATAATAAACTTACACCAGTTTGTCAAAGAGTCCGAACAAAATATGAAGTTACATTCTGCAAAATTAGCAAATCTAAGGCACTTTTCAATGTTATGAAGCTCTTACTTGTATTATAATGGTTTTGTGCTATAAACAACAAACTAGGTGCAAAAAAACCCAAAAAGAAATTAACTTTCATTTGATATACAATATTTCCTGAGCCCACACAATAAAATAAAAATGTGCTAGAAGGACAAAATGCAAGTCAGATTGGGGTGCTATCAGGGAGGGGAGAATCATCAATACAACATAAGAGTCACGTCGCGGTGGAATCAGGCGCTCGTCAATTTTTCAGCATGTGGGGCTATTGGTGTCATATTAAAACTTATTCACTTGTCTTGCTTTCGAAGAAAAATAAATAGCCATCTTTCTAGATAAGACGTAGAAATATTTGTGACTGAAGGAGGTGGGGGATTGTGTGTTTTCAGAGGTAAAATTTGCAAGAAAATTGCTCTCACAACTATGGTGACTTCCATAGCTTGAGAGTCTTTGGAAACTGAAAGTTTACATTTTTGTGCCTTTAATGAACATTTTTCAGTAAAATCCAAAACAGAAATATGTTTTTAAATTAAAATAAAACGAGCTGAGCTAAAAAACCAAAAGTGCGATAAAAATGACAAAACTTGTGGAAAAATGCCCTTTCCTTTGATTTAATTATTTTGACGACCACCTGATTTCACCATGATGCCTGACATATATGTCTGCCGGTTTCGCAATTTTTATATTGAATTTTTATTTTTTTGGCTCAACACTTTTTCTGTTAATTTCAAAACACATTTTGGGGTGGATTTTACATAAACACGTCGACTAAAACGAGTAAAGCGCAAATTTTCAGTTTCCAAGACTCTCAAACTATGGAAGTTACCAAACTTTGGCTGCCATTTTCTCGCAAGTTTACCTCTGAAAGCAAGCAACCCCCTCTTTCCTCAATCACAAATATCTCGTCACCTATCCAAGATTAATGGGTACTTTCTCATCTAGATCAAGACAAGAGAACAACCTTTAAGATGATGCCAATAACTCCACATGCCCAAAATTTAACCAGAGCCTGATTCCACCGTGCTGTGGCACATATATGTGTGAGGCAGCGGGGTGGAATCAGGCTCTCGTCAATTTTTGGGCATGTAGAGTTATTGGTATCATTTTAAAGCTTGTTCATTTATCTTTATTTAGATGAAAAAAATATCAATTTATCTTGAATGCTAGTCGAGATATTTGTGAATGATAGAGGTGGGGGTCACCTGTTTTCAGAGGTAAAATTAGTGAGAAAATGGCCACCAAAGATTAGTTATTTTCTTAGCTTAAGAGTCCGTGGTAACAGAAATTTTACATTTGTTGTGCCTTTAATCAACGTTTTTAAGGATAATCCACACAGAAATTAGTTCTTTAATGGGCATGAAAGGTGTTGAGCCAATAAACAAAAATTTGATAAATATTCACAAACCGGCAGAAAAATGCAAGTTTCTTCACTTTGATTATTTTGACGAGAGCCTGATTTCACCACGCTGTCTCACATATATTTCAGCCAGTCTACAGAGGGTGTACAAAACAAAGTACATTTCAAAGAAAAGGAAAGAAAAAAACCCCCAGCATCCAAGTAATGTATTCCAACAAAGTCTCACCTGATTCTGGAGAACTTGAGGCATCTGCTGCCATAGCAACGGCGGAAGGAATCATGTTTTTGGCATCCACCTCTACCCTGGGTCCGTTGGGGCCATGAACAAAACGAACAGGGTACTTCCCTACCACAGTTGCCCCGCCACCATCTAACGGCAGCACATGGCCTTTCTGGAGAGAGGAATGAGAGACACAATGAGCAAGCATCCAGGGAGCAAAGGGAATGTTTGTTTTAGTAAGGTTTTACCACGCTCGCAACTGCATAAGGTCACATATGAGCGCCAAGGGGTGGACGTCAACAGAGAAGTCCAAGCGGGGAATCAGGCTTACTCTGCTCACCTCTCTAGCCTCAACAGCGTAAAGTCTGCTTCGACTATCAAGGCACCCCGGAAATAGCAATTCACAAGAGAGTGACAAACATTAAAAAAAGTAGAGCAAAAATGATGATAGTAAGGATGAGGAAAGAAAAAGCAGCAGTTCCCCCTATGTTGTTCCGGCACAGTATGAGCATGACATTGAAAAATCAGTCCATTTACAAGACTACTGTGCATAAGAACATGTTAATATCCCCCCCTTTGGGAATGCCCTAAAGACAATTCAGTAAGTAGCACTGCCCTGGGGGAGGGGGAGGGGAGATAAAGTGTTTTGTTTTGTTTTAGTAAGAGTTTAACGGTGCTTTCAACTGCATAAGGTCATATGAGTGCGCGAAAAAAGTTGGTTCTGTTCACAACAGCACATTGCACAGTCTGGTTTGGGTGAACACGTTCACTAAAATGCTAAAATATTAAAATTTGGTGTAAATATACATTTTTTAAATAACATAAATTAAAATTTTTAACGATTTCATTTACAACTTCCCATAAAGGCCAATGGCCTTCATAAAATCCAGAATTCTGTTGGGATCAACGACGGAAAGCAGTTTTTGCAATTTTTTGCATCTAAAATATTTCCTTCAGGTCTTTCCGAAATCTAGACATTCTGTTAAAATATGTCTAACGGTAAAATCGGTGTCGCATCTGACACAGAACAGCTTCTCATCTCCCTGAAGGAGGTATTTATGTGTCAGGATCGTGTGTCCGAAGTGTAATTGAGTAAAAATGACTTCGTCTCTTCTGGAGAGGCCCGAAGGTTTTCATGGACCCAGTTTGGGCTTGATATTGTGTAATCTATTATTTACTTGATTTTTCCAATGAGTCTCCCACAGACTGGAGGTGTAGTTTTTTTACTTTATTTTCAAAGACAGGCTGTGGGAGAGTGTTCGTGTTGATCCCAACAGAAGGGACAAGGACTCGTTCATCAGGAGATGTGCCTGCTCCTTTTGGAGAAGTGACGGACTCCGCCCTTCCTGGGGACAGCCTGGGGAGGGGTGTCAGAGCTGTCCTCCTTCATTGGTTGGGGGGAAGAGGGGGGAGGGGGCACCTCACGCTCCACCAGAGGAATGGGGTGTGAGGTGGAAGAAGAAGAAGAAGGAGGAGGAGGAGGAGGAGGAGAAGAAGAAGGAGGAGAAGATGAAGAAGAAAAAGAAGAAGAAGAAGAAGAAGAAGAGGAAGAGGAAGAAGAAAGAAGAAGAAAGAAGAAGAAAAAGAAGAAGAAGAAGAAAAAGAAGAAGAAGAAAACGAAGAAGACGAAGGAGAAGGAGAAGGAGAAGGAGAAGGAGAAGGAGAAGGAGAAGGAGAAGGAGAAGGAGAAGAAGAAGAAGAAGAAGAAGAAGAAGAAGAAGAAGAAGAAGATGAAGAAGAAGAAGAAGAAAAAGAAGAAGAAGAAGAAGAAGAAGAAAAAGAAGAAGAAGAAGAAGAAGGGATAGAAGAGGGGGGAGAGGAAGAGTTCACCCCGTCCTCCTCAAAAAATCCCGAAGCGGTTAGAAAGTGGCACCTCAGAGGTAGGTGTCAGAGGGATAGAAGGGAGCTTTTTATTTGTCTTCAGTACAGTGACATGCCTGCTGACTGTGGGCTTTGGGAAGTCGGCAGTTGAGGTACTGATCGACCTCGAGACCACCCGGGCTGCCTTTGGGTATGACCGGCCAATGACTGGAGTCATAATTGGCGGGCAGACAGCCTTTACGGGCCTTCTGGAATGAGCAGCCATTTCACGCCTTGTACTCTTGGATGGCGCGTTCTTGGAGCCGCACCCGCTTCTGCGAGCCGAGACTTTTTCACATTGTGAGCTGGGGTAGGGTCATTAGGGTTTTAAGATTCCACAGGAGTTTTGTAGGAGTTTCGACTCCGGGGCTCCCTGCCCGCCACCGAGCCCAACAAGGGAAAATATTGCTTGGATAACCAGAGCTGTGCAAGGGCTACCCCAGAGCTACACTCTTCACAAGAGTGAGCAAGACCTTCCCGTCAAGACTGACCCAGGGCCTGAAGGGGTTTCAGCTCTCAACCGATTGAGTGGCATGGGCCATGCCATCCTCCCGTCTAAGAGGAAAACCTGGGCCAAAGAGGTGTGTTGGCAAGGGACAGTCCGCAGACTGATCACAATCTCACCTCAACTGCCAGGTACCCGGTTTCCCTCCACATGGGTCGCTCCTCACGGTTAACGAGGTGCCCACTCTGTGGGAAGGGTGACCTCTACTTTTGCTCCACATGAGGTCGGCGGTGGAAGAAGAGATAGAAGAAGGAAGGAGAAGAGGAAGATACACCAAAGTCTGTGTCGCATCCGGATCCCAGAGGGTTTGGGTCCATACGTGACACCTCATCATTGAAGGGGTTACACCTTCAGCAGACAAGGCAGTGGGTCGATTTATATCCCCCCGACCCACTGGGGGTGGGAGATAAAGAGTTAAGCAGTTACGAAGAATAAAGTCGGAATCATAAAACAAGGTGCGATGAGAAAAGAAAATACCGGAAACGGGAAACTTGGACTGTTGCTGTTCCTGCTGTTGCCTGGGGGCATGATGATGGCGGAGGCTGTGGTGGTGACGATGCTGTTGACAACCGTTGTGGCGGCGGGCTGCTTGGGCTGGATCGGGCACGGTACCATCGGTCGGCGGGGAGCAGGGCTCCTTTTGGGACGCCCCACGGGTCTGTTGCCTGAGGGTCCCCTGTCCGTTAAGACCCGGTCGCCTTCCTCCTTTTGAAACGTACAGGAGCAAGAAACAAAAGGGAAAGTTGTTATTGCTTTACAGTGCGGACAAAAATTTGTGGCGCAACTTATCCTCAAATATTTCTTCAACGGGTGAACCAATGTAACCCATACTTTGCAAGCAGTTTTTCTTAACTTAATCATATTTTTCCATAACAATTGAGGCTAGATTAAAAAACTTTTCTTCGTAAATTTATATAAAATACTATAAATTTCAGTCATGCGGAAACAGGGATTGTTCACAGCACTTCCCGCTTCTCAAACACATTTTGTATACACATATGTCCTATGTCACAGCTCTCAAATGAAACTCTTTAGTGGCTAAACTTGTACTAAGAAATTAATTTTATAGTAAACATACTTTTTGCACTTATATGGTTCTCAAAAAATGCGTTCAATAAGCATTAATTCGCAATTTTAAAAAAATGACAGACTTGCTTTTAAAAGCGATATTACCCTACTGTAAACCTTTTTAAGTCTGTAGAAACCTCACAGACTTGGATTTTTTATTAGTATTTATTAAGGACATTTCTAGAATACAGCTTACAAGTGTTTATAAAAAAATTGATCTGTTAGGACAAATTGATACAAGTCATTGTGCAAAAGCTGGAGAGTCTATGTTCCATAGTTTAGGAAATATTTGACAATAAGTTGCGCCAAGAATTTTTAATTGCACTATAGTTGAGAGATTTATGGCACTGGCAACAAGAATAGGTCTTTTGAGTGCTGAAGATTAGAGGTGCTACTGCAGAGGTTTGAGTTTAGAAAGGGATATGTGCTACGAAAATGCTATTTATTATTATTATAAGTAATACATGTTTTAATAGTATCATTATTCTTATAGATATGGACAATTGAACACCATTTGTGTCCCCTCTTAGATTTAGTTTTAGTACAAGTATTACAGTGCTTTTAACACAAATGGGTCCAATGAGTGCTCAAGATTAGAAGTATTACTAGAGAATAACATACAAAGATAAAAGAAGCAGGAGAGATAAGGATGACAGATGTTTGATAAGAAAGAAGGAGCAAACCACACCAGAGCACCCACCAACCACCAATGTGTCCCTTCTTCTGAAGTTACAGAGGGTGATTGCATGTCATGACTAGTGAGGAAGCTAGGGAGTAAGTTGAAGAGGGAGAAGTTACTTTGCATTATGGGTGAGGAAGCTAGGGATAAGTTGAAAACGGAGAAGTTACTTTGCATGATGGGTGGGGAAGCTAGGGAATAAGTTGAAGAGGGAGAGGTTACCTCTGTGATATTCAGACTCAGCACATCATTCCTCTCGCTGCAATCCAGGGAGAGCATACTTTTGAAGTCCTCTTCCTCCAGCTCAAACTCTGCCTCGTCAAACAGCGCCTTTTGAGCCTCTTCCTCACCCTCGCCGTCGGCTGAAATGCTGCAAGAGCCGTCTACAGAAGGATAGGACGTCATGATTACCCCTGATCTGGCGTCGTGGCCGGTGTCTGGCGAGAGATTCCCCTCTGTGAGGGAAGCGTTGTTTCCTGCCTCCACCAGCTGTTCTTGACCACTCCAAGACATAGTGCCAGTAGCGTCATCAACGCCACCCGAGGTCTGACACTTCACATTCGACGCCAGACTCTGGTTGCTGTCAGCGCTCGGAGCGGCTGTGATATTTTCCATTTCCTCTCTGCCAGATAGACCGACTAAACCACCATCTGTCCGGCCAGTTGCAGGCTTTCTGGAATTGTTAAGATCATTAAGGAGAAGACTGCCAGTTGGAATCACATCCGGACCCTCACCATTTTCTTTTGCAATATTTCTCATTTCTTTGCAACATTTCGTGAGGTTATCTTTATCTTGGCTGTCCCGAGCCTTAGAGTTGACGCAGGCTTTGTCATACTTGAGGTGAGCTGTTCCTTCCTCTGTCTTCTCTGTGCCGTTGTGCTGGGACTCAGAAGCCCGGGTGGGGGTAGCTCCTTGACCAGTGTGCGTTTCCTGCCTTGTTGACCCACTTGCAGACTCCAGAGACGTGTCCTCTCCACACTCTTCCCCGTTATGATGATGATGACCCCCACTGGCCATCTGAGCCATCTCTCCGACAACGCCGGAGATCCGCTCGGGGAAAGCCTCGTCGTCCGTGATGCTGAGCTTCATGAAGTCGAACGAGCCATCGTCTTCGTCCACCATGTCGTTGATGTCGCTGTTGCCGGGGGGGAGGCAGTCATTGCCGCCGCCCATGATATGCTGGAAGTTTCTGGTGAGGATCTGCGCTACCTCCTCCTGGAGGCTGTCACTCACCCTCTCCTCCGACATACCCAGGTGTGGGGGTGGGCTTGTCATGTCAAGGTAACTGCAGTGAATGCAAAGTCACCAGAAAAACAGAAAGTTCAGAATATGAGACCACGGGAAAAGTCCGGACCATAGACCAAATTCTGGGTCACGTCAATAGACTAAAGTCAAGGCCACCATGAAGGATCAATGTTGCTATAAATAACCCCAGGAAACCAAAACCTCCTCGCGTAAGAGCAAAAATACATAAACGAGTGAGTCGCCTCTTCACTCAAGGTGTTCTCGCTTCAACTGACCATGTCGCCTGACACCTGCTTTGTCATTGGGTTTCACAAACGGCCCTATTACAACCACAGGTGAAGCAGACCCTGGCTTCAAACAGAACCGGAGTAATTCTTTAGGCTGGGGTCCGTATACAGAACGTGGTCTCTTGAGTCATCGTATCCAAAACAGAATAAAACTGACTGTCCCAACAGGAGACGATTAGATCCACGAAGGCTGTCCCACAAACAGCACCACCTGAAATGAAAAAGAAATACAAACTTTAAAAAAAAAGAGACTGACAACAACAATTGTTCATGAAAATAATCCTCACAGTCACAGAAGTGTCGTCTTACAAAAGAGCAAAAAGGCTATAACATTTGTGTCACGACGCGGCGGAATCAGGTGCTTGTCAGTTTTGGGGCATTGGTATAATCTTATTCATTCGTCTATTTATAGATGAAAAAAATACTCATTTAACTTGAATAAATGAACAAGATATTTGCGATTGAAGGACGTGGGGGTCACCTGGTTTCAGAAGTAAGATTAGCAAGAAAATGGCCGCCAACGTTTGTTGACTTCCAAAGCCTAAGACTCCTTGGATTTTTGTGTGCATTTAATCAACCTTTAAAAAACAAAACAAAAAGAAATTCAAAACAGAAATGTGTTTTTCAATGGAGATCAAAGGTGTTGAGCCAAAAGCAAAAATTCAATTAAAAAAGCCGAAAGTCAGAAAAACGTCGGTATCTTTGATTTCATTATTTTGACGAGCGCCTCATTTCACCAAGAAGCCTCACATTTGCATCCCTTCTCCTGAAGAAAGACAGCGCAATACAACAATGTAATCAGAGAAGTTTGTTTTACACCTTCCTTGACATGATTTAGATATATCATTTAGGATGCGGCCATGCGAGCTTTGGCCTGCCTGCCTCTCAGGGCTGACCCGGACAGAGGGGCGCCCACTTCAACACAATGTTCATCGTGTTGGGGGCGGGCTGTTTCAACCTTGCACGTCGGGGGCAACCTGTGCTGAGTGTGGGATACAACAGCATTGCAGACAGATGAGTATGCTAAAGAACGTAACTTCCCGGGATGATAAGACAGAAGGTGGGCTGGTTCAGCCCTTCCTCTCTCCCAAGGCCAACTCGTTTAGTTTTACGGCACTTGCAATACTATAAGGTCGTATAAGTACCGAAAATTAGATGTGTTATAAGAGAGTAACAAATATAAAAAAAGAAGGAGAGATCAGAACGATAGGTGTCTGATAGGAAAGAAGGAGCAAACTACATCAGAGCACCCACCATCCACCCACTCAGACCAACTCGGACTGTGTGGTGAAACATCTTGACGAAAAGAAGAGGACACTCGACTATATATCCTTCTCACGTAAGGCATGAACCCATGTCTTCAGCGTGCGTCTCCAAATACATAACCATAACCTCTCACAGACAGACACAGTGCGCCCTCAGAATGACTGGATTCCAACTCTACATCTTGGGACAACTGAGCTAGATACATTACTGATACACTACATATTATTGACTCACTGCACATTACTGACACAGATGCTCTACACGCCGTGCCAAAGTCTCGAGACAATCTGGCCTGAATTTTTTTTTTAAAGATAGCATACGTATAGCGCAAATCCCAGCTCAACAGCAAGCTCTATACGCTTCACTGTGTATTACCTCAGCCGACCTGAGAGCATCCTGAAAAAACTTCAACTTCCTGGAAAGCATACAGTGCAGAGCCCGAGAACTCACGATTACAAGTCCGGTAACCTAACCACAAGGACACTGAGGCCACATTACTGACACAGATGCCCTAAACGCCGTGTCAAAGTCTCGAGACAATCTGACCTGCATGTTTTTTCAATTTGACACTAAACAAACAAGATGTACAAACATGTAAGCTATGTATATATATAAGTGTGAACGTTTGGATCCCACTTTCTCACACAACTCTTTGTGACAGAGATTGAACCCTGTCATTCTCAGGGCGTCATGGATCGGCGGTCAACAGGGTGTTTCTCTCCCAAGGGGTTGTTAAAGGGCTACCTCAGCATTACAAAGTTCTATAATTTGGCATTTTTGGCCGTTTTGAGCTATTGAGACCAGGAGGTCAGAAACCAAATGTTCTGCCTCTTTTATAAAAATCGAAAGATTATCCAATGTCATTATCAAGATATTCAAAGAATTAATTGCATTCGAAAAACGTTGACATGTCGTGAAACTGAAAAAAAAATTGGACGTCAAATCTCTCAAAACTATGTACTGAGCAGATAGAACTTTCTCTAGGGTAGCGAAATGCCAGCGCAGGAAAGAGCTACACCACAGCACAGGGCCTCTCAACACCTGGCTAGGAGAATTTATTGTTACACTTCAAAGTTTAAAATGTAACCAGATCAGCCAAACATTTATTTTGCAAAAATTAGTCTGGTTTCTGAACCAGCCGGAACTTTAAAGAGATAGTTTTAGTTTTAGTCAGGGTTTTGCACCCACTTTCGACACAGATGGGTCGCATAAGTGGCTAAGATTAGAGGTTTTACTAGAGATAGAGAGTAACATACAAAGAACAGAAGGAGAAGAGATATGAACAGTATTTGATAGGAAAGAAGGAGCAAACAACACACAATGGTGAGATTGCAGGTGTGGGGGTTCGAGCCTCAGCTCGGTCAGGCGTTGTGTCCTTGGGAAAGCCACTTTACACGAATTTCCCACTTGGTTCGGTCCTTTCGGAGATGGTGGTTAAACTCGGAGGTCCCGCCTCTTAAATAACCTAACAGTAGGCCTAACAGTGTATACCGTTTCACAAAAAAACCCCAAAAACAAAAAAAACAAAAACAAAAACAAAAAAACCCCAACAACTTACCACAAAAAACCCCATGCCAACCACCTGTACAAACGACCACTTATCACTCTCTCTCTTTCTCTCTCTCTCTTTCTCTCTCTCTCTCTTTCTCTCACACACACACACACCCTATAATACACACTCCTCTTGCCAGGAAAGCGGCACCTCAAGTGTTTTCACACAGCGAACTTTATCATCGGTGTAACACCCCCCCTCCCCCCCATACACACACTAATCCACTGGACTCTCTCTTTCTCTCTCTCTCCCTCTCCCCCCCTCCCCCCAAGGATACAAGTCAAGATACCGGCAATTGAAAGAGGTGGGGGTCGCCCGGTTTCAGAGCTAAAATAAGCGAGAAGTTGAGTTATTTCCTTTGCTCGAGTGTCCGTGGTAACTAAAAATTTACTTTTTTATACCTCTAATCAACGTCTTTCAGTAAAAATCGACACAGAAAAAGTATTTTTTCAAGGGCACGAAAGATGTTGATGCAAAAAAAAAAAAAGCACAACAATTCAATAAAAATTCTCACACCTGCAGAAAAATGCCAGTTTCTTGACTTTCATTACATGTATCTTGACACGCGCCTGATTTCACCACACTGCCTCTCATTTGTCAAGGGGGGGGGGGGGGTGAACCGTTCCATAAAGGCGTTAAACTTCTTTTTCGGGAGGGGGGGGATTAATAATAATTGTAGACGTTTTTACATCCTCATTGACATAATTTAGGTCACTCTACGGGAGGCGGGTATCCCACCTTGCCTGCCATGGCCAACCCACGCTGAGAGGGATACAACATCCTAGCAGAAAGAAATAGATATTCGATACCAATTTTCTCCTCACTCGAAGACAAAGATCGTACATAACGAGATAGTTCACTCCTCTCTTTGAGCCAATCAAAAAAAGTATCCTCAAAATCCGGTGGCGCCCTCTTCGAAAAAGTGCGGACTTAACGAACAGGAGTTACCCTACTTGTGTGAAAAACAGTAAAAGCGAAACTAACAAGATGCTATTCCTATTCTTCTTCTGGAGAAACGAAAGAGAGCTTCAAAATAAAGACTGCAGCGCAATCAGAGGCAATGCGCGGACTTCCGCGGACACATTTTTGGCCGAGTGAACTACAATGTATCTTGTTATTACAATCTTTGTTCGGGAATAGAGCTCGAGTCTTCTGCAGGCGACGGCGGAGCGGCTATTCTAACCATTGCACCACAGACGCCGCGGATTTTTTTTTCTTCGGGGGGGGGAGATTTCTCGGTAGTGAAATCATGTCCTGTTTCGTGGAACAGATACAGTCGAGGGGGGGGGGGGATAAACATCTTGAGTTCTTATGCACAGTAGAATTGTAATTGTAAATGCGTTGATCCATCAATGTCACTCTCACTGTGCATGAACTGCAACAGGGAACTGCTGCTTTTTCCCCTAATCCGTACAATCTTCATCTTCCTCTAATTCTTTTGTGTGTATGTCACACTTTTGTGACCCAGTATTTCCGGGGTGTCTTGATGGTAGCAGCAGACCTTGTGCTGGTGAAGCCAGAGAGGCAGGACTTCTCTGTTGACATCCACCCCTTGGCGCTCATATGACCTTATGCAGTTGCGAGCGATGTAAAACCTCTACTAAAACAAACAAGAACACGCCACGCAGACTTTTAGAAAAGAACTGAAATTTTCGTACAGGGAAAACGCAAGACCGACAGACAAACAGACAGACAGACAGACACACAGAAACAACAAAGGTAAAGAAGAAAAGAAGCAGGGCCTACCATAGCACCCTCTAACCACCCACGGATATAAATGAGGCAAGGCAAAACCCAGATAAAGTAAAGTGCATCCGTGATGAGAATACTATGTTAATCCCACTTGCAAACGAGACGGTTACTGTCTTCCAATTACTCCTTCATCTACATCACACTTGCTAGATAGACAATTGTCTTCCAATTACTCCTTCATCTACATCACACTTGCTAGATAGACAATTGTCTTCCAAATAATCCTTCATCTACATCACATTTGCTAGCTAGACAATTGTCTTCCAAATAATCCTTCATCTACATCACACTTGCTAGATAGACAATTGTCTTCCAATTAATCCTTCATCTACATCACACTTGCTAGATAGACAATTGTCTTCCAAATAATCCTTCATCTATATCACTCTTGCTAGATAGACAATTGTCTTCCAAATAATCCTTCATCTATATCACACTTGCTAGATAGACAATTGTCTTCCAAATAATCCTTTATCTATATCACACTTGCTAGCTAGACACTTGTCTTCCAAATAATCCTTCATCTACATCACACTTGCTAGATAGACACTTGTCTTCCAAATAATCCTTCATCTACATCACACTTGCTAGCTAGACAATTGTCTTCCAAATAATCCTTCATCTACATCACACTTGCTAGC